CATTATTGCCGATGTCTCTGCGTTCGGCGCAATTTTGTTTCGGTACAATTAATATTCTTTTCTTCTTTGTCGCATTGTTCTACTTTCTCCCCAAAAAAGGGACATAAAATATTCGGTGAAAACATTTTTATTCTTTTGAGGACTGGAGATCCTCGTTCTCTCTTTTCTCTTTCCCATTTAATAATGGGATTATTATTACCTGCCTAACACCGCGCTCTTCTTACAATCCGATTTACAGCTGCGACGGTACCTACAAAGCGGCGGTGTCGTCGAAACGAAGAACATTTCCGCCGGAAAGAAAGAAAAGAAAGGGCTCTCGCATTTATTTCGCGCACTGGGTCGCGCACTTTTTCCCGAAACTCTTCCGCTCGCTTCTCCTCGTTTTCTCGATGCTCGGCGCGGCTCGCCAATTTATCGGCAAGAAATAAGCGCGAGAAGTGGAACGAAAAGGGTTCGGGCGGCGGTGCGGGAGAGAAGCTTCATTTTATTAAAAAATTTTATTTTTATTCCCGTCGCGCAGAGCCAGGCCGCGCCATGGCCGTGCCGGCGGTTAATACCGGAAGCGGGGGTTTAATGGAATTACAACGTGTTTTATATGCGCGCCAGCATTTTCGCGCGAGAAATTCGCGGAACGGACGAAAAGCGCACAAAGGGGGAGCCGGGCGGTTGCGGACGGGGGCGGAATTTCACGCGCCACCGCATAACGTGTTTGCGTAATATTTGCATGATATATTTTCGATACGCCGGCTCGCGAGAGATCCTATAAGTTTTATGCAAAGCGAGGCACTATTGTCCGTCGCGGCCGCGCCCGATAAATAAAACCGGCGGGCGACGAAGAAATCGGGCCTTTCGGGGGTGTGACGGAAGAGAGGCGCTTACGCGTCTATTTTCACGGGTCTCGCGTCATGTCTAAAGATGCGCTGACCTGATATACCGAAATATCAAGGGGGGGGAAAATCGCATTATGCATGCACGCCGAAAACCGGAGCGGAGATAAGGCGCTGCCGCGGATTTCTTCGTCAGGCGGCAGCCATTCCGCAAAATGCAATTACACCTTTGCCCCCAAGTAGCTTACGTACACATAAATGAGACAGGCGCCCGACGCGCGACGCGGTAAGCGTACGAGCGTGAGTAAACGAACGTGCTTGTAAGGCGAAGCTACCTATTTTCTGCATTGTTTAATTCCTCGCGTAAAACGCCGCCTAAATATGTACACTGAGTAATTTCTAAAATTAGCGCGCGGGAGGAAGGCAGGACATTCTCGCCGGCGTTTTTCTTCCGCCGTTCCGTATACGGTCCGTTTTCTCGTAGCATTCGCTGCAATTAAATTGCATTCACGCGGGACCATTCGATAAAGCTGTTTCGCAGTATCGAAATTATTATGCGAGAAGTACCTTACACGTGTTTATCTCTATTTTTAGCTTTTACCTCTCGCGCTACATTTTCGTTTTTATTAAACTTATCTCCTCTCCATTTCCTCGTATAACGATGAACTCTGCCGCGCCATTTATTCGCGAAACTAAAGAAGAAATAATTCCCCGCGGCAAAATAACACATAATAAGATTCGTGTTTGAATTTAAAAAAAAAAGAGAAACAATGTTGTTCGAGCTGGTACATCCTTTTCCATTTGATTGAAATACATTATTGTCGCTTGCGCAACAATATTTTCTCAGAAACTTCTCGCTTGAATTTCACTTAACTTCCCGCGGGCCATAATTTTGTTCTCGTAATTCGAATAATAGAGAGGAACGGCGTATTTTTTAAATCTAACGCGAGAGTGTAGCTAGAATTTTTTTTTAATCCGGCAAGTTTGCTCGCGTGTCTAAATATTTCATTGTGATTAATTAGCTAATTACAATTAGTTCGTTATTTAATATCGTATGTTAATTATAATTGTAATTAATTAACTATTGTAATATGATTAACTCAACTTTTATTTTAAAGAGCGCAGTATACAAATTAGATTTAATACCGAATGTAAAATATTTCGCAAAATTTTAATTAAGGAACAGCGCGTTTTTTGATGGAAAAAATTTACATTTACTACTACCGCGATTACGGTCTAAACGCTCACGTGAATTATAGCTCGGCTACCGTCAGAGATTTACCACTACGCAAATGGCCTTTACCTTACGAAGTAAAATTCAATCGTCGAAATTTTGCGAATTTGAATTGCGCGATTTTAGGGCACGCGGCAGCCTCGGCAATCAAGCGTTTTACATGTACGCCCGCCTCGTTATTATCCCTTCGAAGTCGCTGTCAGGGGTCCGCCGTCCGATTGCTCGTTTCCGCTTTTATCGCGTTACATCGGCGCGTGCTACGTCGAATCTGGCAAAAATCGGGGTTAAATCCGGCGCGAGGGTATGCACGCTGGGACAACCGAGTGACCGCATCCGGCATCCCGCTTTACGGGTCATCCCCGACGCGATACCGGGGGCCCGGCCCGCCTCGTTTGTGAATCGTCGTGGCCGGGGCGAGAGGGGCAAGGACGAAGGGCGAGTAATTCGCCACCTTCCGTTTCATTACTGACCTGCCAGAGATACAGCCGCGCGGCACGCAATCGCGCGATCAATCCCGCGGCTGGTATCCCACGTCCGTCAGAACCGCGGACGCTGGACGTATGCGAGATCGCGCCCCATTACGCGCGCATAGATCACGCGTCATTAATGCGCCGCTGCGACACCGCTGGAGCCGATCGCGAGATTCGACGTTCCGCTAGCCTCGTCTGTTAAAGCTTAGGGTAGAGAAATGGGAAGATTAAAGCTACAGTTGTACGAAATGCATTCTCGTTTTACACGTTTGCTCGAATATTGGAGAAGAGTTCTCTATTACGAGATAAGTTCCTAACGCAAGCTAGCGGGGTTGCTACTAAATTAACAAGGCATCGTCTGTTGGTTCCATCGTGATTTTGTTGCCCTTGGAGTGAAATCTGCTTAGTGGAAAATTCATTGTTAGATTTCGCGTGTGAGATAGCCTATGTTTCTCTCTCACTCGCGGGAATTTGACGGACTCTTATGGCCAGTCTCTGATTACAGGGTCTCTAACTCTCTCTCATTTTAATATAGTCTTCAATTCTTCTCACGGGACGCGCGGTATATTTGTACAAGTCTATGGTCAGATCGTGTCAATCGTCGCGAAAAAAAGATTTGCGATCGAATTTCGATGTTGAAAACCTGCTGTCTCGTATCAGAAGCCTATCTCGTAATAGTGGACTTTTCTCTCTATCTCTCGCGTTTGGCACGTTGATCGGAAATACACTATTTTGTTCGTTTGCTCGGATAATAACAAACAGTCATCGATCTCTTCCTGATACACCGCGCACTGAGATACCGAGCCGCTTCGCAATTAACTATACGGAGGCATTGGGTTACCAATTAATTGCAAACGGATTTCAATCGACAAACCTTATAATTGATGCGCGTAGAACGAGCGCCGGTAAAACTCGCGGACTCCCGCGTGATCGCGCCTCTCGTCGAATCCACGGGCGTTTATCATGGACATTATGAAAGTGGAAATTTCGCGATTCGTGCAGGCGCATATTTTTCCGCGTTCGTAAAAACTGATTTGATTTTAAAGCATCTTTATGCGCATAATCTCGGAAAAAAAGTGCCCCATAAATCACGCGCCCGGCATCAAACTTCGCTCTCGTCCCGCCTTATTCATCTCCCGGCGCGGCGGGAACAAAATCGAAGCGCGCGCGCGTCTCGAGAAAGAAAATTGCAATCTCGGGTTTTATAAAAGACGGGGAGCGCGCGCCGTCGATAGTTCGCGGCCATTCTCGATAGAGCCAATCTTCTTGTTACATAATTCCCGCGGCCAATTACGCGGAGAGGCAGACTCCGGTTATCCCTTCGGAGATATAAAATCCATTTTCCATCCGTATTACGTATTCTTCGTTTATCGTGAAGACTCGCTTTTAAATGCCGTAACACAGTAGTAAATTTCTGCTACCTATTCCGCGCGAAAGAGAAGATACCCCTTTTGTGTCGACAGTTGCTTCAATACAAATATTAATACAATTATTAACCGACTATTCATCAATCTGTTACTGACAAATGTTACGGTGTGCGTTTTCGTTAGTGAAACAGCAGAGCTCGAGACCGATCGATTACTGTCTCGGACTTTCTAAACTCCCTTCTGCCCCATTTTTTCTGTTTTGCAACAAACATTAATGTGGATATCGCTATTTTTCTCATTTTAACATACGGGTAATTTACTACGGTGAAATCTTCTCGCCGGAGAAAGAGTTTCGCGAAGAACTTACGCTCGTGGGAAGAATGAGCTTGTGGCGCAACCCTTGGAGCCCTAAAAAACTTGGTGGCAATCAATCAACCACGCCCAGCGATTATTAGTGCAGTTTTGTGGAGGCTAAGGACGAGCGTTTTAATCCCAGCTGCTGGGGGACGGCTGTTCGCACACAAATTACCTCGCGTAATTTGATATTAATCCAAATTGATATTAATCGGACAAATCTCTTTCGCCAACTTTTTACACGCCGCATCGTTAAGTTACGCGATGTTCCGTTTTTTTAAATAAACGAGATAGCCGGCACTTTTTTTTAAAAGTTTTTTTTAAAGAGATAGTTATTTCGATCCGAACAAGGTCGTGTGCAAATTTATATCATGTCGATCGCATGATTTTTCTTTGCGGCGCAATATGTCGCGCAAAACGATATAACCACGTTCTTAACTAGCAAACTATTAACGATGACAGGGTATTTTCGGCTTAATTCAAATAACCATCTGCCCTATATACGTTCCGTTACCATGTTACGTCAGGTAATTGCGAACACCGCTAAATACTCTATTAATTATCTTCGCCGGTCGTGCGACAAATGCGGTGGCTTTATCAATAAAGGCCTCCCCCCCCCCCCCGCGCGCTGTGCACAAGCGCCGTTTTAACCGCGAGATAAAATTTCCCCGGCGCGCGATCGCTCTTTTTCGGTTATTTGGAGAAGTACCAGATGTGTAAAGGGACGTCTGTTTTTTGTCTGTTGCAGTGTGCGTACAGTGGCCCGAGGGTAGGTGCTTCCATGACGTGCCGGAGCCGGCACTGCTGAATCTCTACTTCGAGATCCGTGAGAACTGTCACGGCTTCTCCTGAAGGCAACGACCAGTCAGGCAACGACAATGATGACAATATGAGACGGGCCCCCGCGCTCCTCGTTTTCTTGCGAGCGCGCGGATCATCAGTATATCACTTCAGTATCGCGCGAGAGAAACATTCTCGAGATAACGTATTTATTTAAAAGTCTTTCCAACAGCCGCCGCACACCACGACCAAGCCAAAAAAAAAAAATACGAATAGCCACGTATAGCCACACAGAGAAGGGACGAAGGTCCTTGGTCCTTTTTTTTCTTTCTTTTTTTTTACGTTCACGTCGATACATTCCGATCGGAGGAACAGTTCCTAAATCTCGCGGTTTTCGTAGAGACGCGCCGTCGAATGGATAGAGTCGACGGAATGATCCTTCGCGCGAGGACACGATCTTGGAACAATCAGATCTGCGAATCTAGTAATTTCTCAGCAGATTATTCGATAAACTAGATATTTTCTTCGCATACTGTGTGCGATGTAATTGGATTGTTCTCTCAGTGAGTCTAAATTTATCTAATTGAGCCTCTCGAACAATTTATAAACGATATTGATTAATCGCTGATGACAGATTTTGTGTGGCGATAGTTTCTAAAAAATAATCACGGGCCCAAGTAAATCTCGTACAGCCTCCCGTCGTCTCCGTTCGTTCGAGCCGCGTCTCCTCGTGAGAGCGACACGTAAACAACGCGTGACGCTCTCGCGTATCGTTTCCGGTGATCGTGATGGATCTTGTGTGACACAGGTCTAACGCTGGCCCTAAATGGGCGCTCGGCAGAATTCTCGCTGAGCGCGCGAAAACGGGATCTCTCGCGTCTCTTTTCTTTATAGGGTTCTCGATGATCCCAGCAGAAGCAAGGTGGGTGGTCCAGAATATTTATTTACCTACAACTAATTGCTCGTCGTTCAGCCAACTCGGGATTAAAGACTGTCTCTCCTGCTATATACATATATATATATCTTTTTTTTATTGTACATGCCTTCTCTCTATCGTCCAGCAGGAGAGATACATCATGCTCAGCCCCTCCTAAGTTTCTCTCACACAACCAATTTTTCTTTTGTTGTTTCCCCGTCGAGCCGAAACGAAGTCCTCCTATCTTATCATCGCCCGTTCTACTTCGCGGTGAGAAAGCTACAAGAAATAATAACAGCTTTTGCGGTCTTGCGGAGGAAAATGCGTTGTGTGAAACAGAAGCGAGGAGAGAGAGAGAGAGTTGGGATAAAAATAGCTTGCGATAATAGAAGTGCTACGTTACGTGAGAAAAATTACGTTCAGCGAATGTTAGAACGAAAATACTATCGGCTAACTATTCCGGCACGATTGTTTATTGTCGGGAATTATTAGGAGGCTCCGTGCTATCAATAGCTCGTATCGAGTCCCATTTCTCTCGGCACTGTTTCACGATGCGCATTGCCCTCCCGCATAAAATGGCGTTCAGAGCGGAAGCAGCTAATCGTCACGAAGATGTTCGCGCGAGCTGCGACTTTCGATCTGTCTTATAGCATGCCACGAGGCGCGTGGACTTGAAATTAGCGAGGCGATCGATTCAAGAATCGGCAGTCACGGGCACCGGGCAAGAACCCCGGAGCAACCCGCGTTGCTTGCCGCATCACAATTCGGCACCTCTCGCAGTGAGAACGCAATCGCGAATTCGCCAAACTTCTGATGCTTTTACCATCCGCGCTATCGTATCTCGCGCAAAATTTTGCCGCGCAAAGAACGGAAAATACTTGTGTTATTCAATGCATTTTTGTTTTACTCTATTTTTTTTGTTACAAACGGAAAATAATTTTTTTATATCGGGGCAACCCCTATCGCGATATACGTGTGTCGCTTTTGTAAAATCGGGATTTAACATCGACGCGTTTCCAGCTTTGATTATATATTTACCGGTCCGAACGGTATTTCCATTATCTAAATGCACGACTGTTTGCCGAAGTAGCAGAATCGGGGGAAAAATTTTTTTTTTAATTTTTCAATCGAATATATCAATACGGTGATTTGCTGTATTTTGCTCATGCTTTGGTACAAATGTATGTGTATAGGCGAACGTTCCGTAAAGTCAAGTGGCAAATTACTCGATAATTCCGGAACAGCTTAGGTTTAGCGTAATGAATACAGGGTAATAGAGTATTAAGGATAGACAATTGTTTTGCATATTTACGAATTTCGATTTTCGACATGATTTACCTCGCTCGTTTACTATCTTCGCGAAACCCGACGACTTCGTCGTCAATTGTCAATGTGAACACGGGAGCAACGTGTTTAGAACATAAGTATACCGTGCCAAAAAGAAACACAGGGTATTGATTGTGGTGATTAAGTGATCCTTATTTTAGATATTTCGTGTAATTAGTGTACGTAGACACGTTTTTACATAGGACAGAAGAGACACGGCTGCATTTTTTTTTTAATTAGCCGAAGTGACGTAGCACCAAGTTTTGCGTGGTTCTGCAAGTGATTCCAGCCCGTTCGCACCGTCTATTTTTATATAATGTGATTTTTACACTTGGCGAGAGGAGGATCGCGCGCTGCCCTGCGAGCTTAACGGCGAGGCGCACTTGCAGGATCCACGAGAACGTAGAACAGTATTACGCAACCGCATGACTGTACTCTATTACAGGGTTAAACCGACATTCCAAAGATCGTGACATCGATTTACTCGCCAGACGAGTAAACTGGGGTAATTCGCTATTAAATAACCGCATATACAAACGACGCGATCGTGATTTATCCCGCCTTTACTGATCCAATCGATCAATCGTGTGCCATAATACCCCACTTTACAAACGTAGAAAGTAGGCTTACTCAGACAATTTTTAAGAGATTAAGACGCAGCGTTAGTTGCATAGCGATTAGACTACATAGTAAACGTCAAATAAGTGTTTGTGTGCGTGTGGACGATTAAGTGTTCTACGAAAAGTGAGCATGGAGATATTTGTAGAAAAACAGAGGATTAGAATCGACCGGAGGAAAGTGACAATGAAAATAGATGAATAAATGAAGCGAGAGCTTGAAGCGGGAACGAAAACATGACAAATGTAAAGAGGAAATCATTACTTTCCACCAGATCAGCATAAATTTTATACGCGGATAAACGTGAATATTTCTGTACCAATGAATATCGACAATATTCAGTTTTGTGCGAAAATTCGATGGAAGTTCGCTTTTGCAGAAAATTGAAAATTCGTTTGAAAATTAGAATATTGAGTTTCGAAAAATTCTGAACGCACCGACATAAATAAATTGCGAGACGTGTGTATGCGCGTGTATGTGTGCTCTCGTCTCTATTTTACATAATTATTAACGGCGCATTTAAAAAAAAATATCTCCTTATCGTTTACGCACAGTTAAAATTACTTTAATTATGCAAAATGGAATTTATTAATGTCGCGGAAGGACAAACTGTATTACCGAGGGTTGGAGCAAAACGAGCAGCAGCGAAGCAAATCGTTAATCGATACAAGGGCGGCTTGTTCTTGTCGCTGCTCGTCGAAACAAATCTGCGTGACACACAAGCGGACCGATTTGTCACATCTCAGTCAATAAAGAGGAATTTTTACTTTCCGTACATCGACGAGTCAATCGAAAACCGATTCTCACGATTGCACGTTCATGCATGTATATATTATTCATCGAGGAGAAACTGGGAATTGGCAGACGCGCGAGTCATTAAAACGTTTAAATGGCCGCGTAAAATTTCAGCGCCATTTCTGGCTAGGTAAAATTATATAAAGCGATAACAAGAAGAATAATTAACTTGAACTTATCAAATATAATCTCATTTCGTTGTTACGTAAGCGAAATCTCAATAGTGAATTCGTAAAAGTAGTTTTTCAAAAGTAAGGCGAAAAAGTGGCAAACGAGGCAAACAAATTCTATCGTTACGACTATATATCTGCCCTCTTCCCTAGTTCTCTCTTCCTGTTTAACTATGCGATCGCTCCGTCGACGTGTTCATTTCGCACACTTCTCTCTTCGGTCTTCTCGCGGAAGTATTCCGCCGCTGAACTTTCCGCCGCGAGTAGTCGGGGATATTTTCGTCGATTATCGCGCTCTATTCTCCCCGTCTATTCATCGAATCGTCGTCGTTCGGCAAATCTGCTCCCCGAGTCATACTCCAAGTATTCGGGCCGCATACCCTCTGCGTACGCGAAGCAAATCTACGCGTTGGCCACGCGTTCGGTTCCTTTGTTTTCCTTTTCCACGGGAAATTCTCCCCGAAATTCGCCCTCGCGGGCGACGCCCGGGCGCACAGCCGTGGACGACAGCTTAGCGATGGGATAAAAAAGAAGAGACGCGAGGGAGGAGGGCGAGTTCTCCGTCCGAGGGAGGATCCGGAAGTCGAGGTCCTTCCTCCCGGAGACCGCTCACCTCTCTGTCTTTTCATTTATCCCAACCTCGCACTTCTCGCGGCGATATTACTACTCCGTTTCGTAGCTCCCGAAGCATTCCGCGTCCCCTAACAATTTTCATTCCATCTCATACCGCTTTTCCACGTTCTTCTCCCGGCTCTCCTCTCTTCTTCCTTCCCGTCGCTCCCGCCCGTTCCTTTCTCCAATTTTACCTTCGCGTCAGAATTCTTCCATTTCAGTCGCGCCGCCGCGGTCGCGCCGGCGACGCGCGAGGAAAATTGATATTGCTGCCGGGAAAGAAAAAGATTTGCCTCTCCCGACATGCGAGATTTTATTGCGTTTACGACACGGCGTCCGACGTCCATTATGCGTGAACTTGAAGCTAAATCGCGTTATTCCCAGTTTGTGAATCGCTGAATCTACAAAGACGCGGGTTTTATCTCGCGAAAGTCCGGGAATAGGCTTCGAAAATCTTGCCCTCGCGACTCCGGAAAACCCCCGTTACCAACGACGACGATTTTGATGACGCATGCTCGTAGGCCTTTTACTTTGAGATTACGCTTATATTAT